ACCTTTTCTCCACCACAACCACCAGTGTCTGGACTCGCAAGGGGGGGATATTGACTTGGTTTGTCCTATGGCAGGATGGAGTCTAAGCGCCAAAGCACTATTTCATATTTATACCTGTTTTAAAAAATCATTGTTATATTCAAGTCTCTCCTGATTGAATCCATTAAAGAAATAAAGCTATAGTGTAAGTTCAGCTATGAAGACCATCACCTCCCACTAGTCTCACAGGCCTCTCACTCAAACTGCTCTCCCTCACCAGCAGCACATATTCTACACTGGCTTCCACTGCCAGAGGAGACAGCGGCTCCAAGCCAATAAGCGCAGTGTCAAACCCTCTACTGTCTATCAGCTGTTGCCGTCTCCTTTAAATGTGCTGTATCCCCGCCTCCAGCTTCCTGCTGCCGTCTCACGCGACCCTCCGCCTCCTCATATTCAACACCCCATCTGCACCTCCTGCCAACTGAAGCTAATCATACCCTGCTTTATGGTCTAATTGACTGAGAATGGACCATAATTTACTCAATGAACATCATGCTTAATTGAAGAACATTTCAATTAATCTTTAACTAGAGATGAGACCATCAACGTGTGTTTACTGAGGTAATAAATTAGGTGAGAATTGGGCTTTGGCTTTTTAGATCCGATGTTTTCGCCCAGTACGAATAGGTTAGTCACATAAATGACAAGGGTGACATCAGTGAAACTGGAAGACCTTCTAATGTCAAAGTATTTTCCACTTTGACTAGTATTGGGTACCTGTCAATGCTCAAAAAGCAGGATGGATTGTGGAAGTATCACCACTTCACCACTTGTTGCAGTCTATGGTGTATGTTGTGTTGCAATGGAGTTTCATAACCCACTCTGCCAGTCATACATATACAATGACACATAGGACATTCCTAACTATTAATAAGTGAATGAAAGTAGCACAATTGTGCACAAATGTACTTATTGTAGATGGTTTACAGCAGATGGTGAACAGGTTACCCAGTTGTCCCAACACAATGCACAGTGTAAATTCAGTACATGGCGCTGACATGCACATGGAGAGATCCTACTCCCCAAATGACTTTGTAAACAAGAAGTAAATGCCGTGCCAGTAACATAATTCCTATATAGGAAGGATTAAGTGTCAGGAAGCAGTTATTGCATTATTTAGAGTGTCATAAAGAGCCAGGCTATGGATTTGATAGCAGAAGCGCCTCAGCAGTTATTTCTGTCATCGTCCCCCTCATTTAACTGATCTATGACTCTTGCTTCTGTTCCCATCGTGCTTTCTCTCACTTTATCTGTCCAGGAAAATAAAATGTGAGGAACAAACTTATTGCCACTGGCCCCTTTGTGAATTGTGTGTGTTGGTTATCCAACACTTAGCTGTTTGAAACAAGTGGTATTCAGTAGTTACTTACACTATTGAACAGCTTACGTAGTGCAATTGCAAGGCTCTCTGCAGTTATTTTAAATATATTTCTAACATATTATAAGTGAAAATATTAACACGCTGTTTAGCAGGTGCAGTGTATAACAAGGTGCTACTCAGGCATTGTGTAGTTATACTTCCCGTCTGATTGTTCCATGCATTAAGATTTCTACAAAACACAAGTTGCCTGGAGACAACTGTTCTTATCAAACATTTGACCGCCACTAACCTCCAGTAATTGTCTTTGCAGGAAAAGATGAGCAGTGAAAGGTAAATCTCTCTCTCTCATGCACACACACAAACCAGCTCGACATTGTAAACTGTTTCAAAGTTTCTTCTCTTATCTCATTTAAAGAGACATATGTGCAAAAGGAAGCATATGTCACTTGCTGACCAGTTTTTAACATTTGAAGAACTTCATAACCAATAGTTTTCTTTTTTAAAGATCAAGCAACAGCAGGCCTGGTTTAAAATGGGTTTTGGGTTCAAATAACTGTTTATAATGTAACTCCACCTAACAAAGTCTACACTGTAGGTAATGTCGGGATCTCCAATCCCCCCAGTAGTAAGTTACGTACTGGGTGAACTTTTAGTACTTGTACCCTAAACACATGTCCGTTTCTCTGAGAGGCTACCTATGCAGTGGACGGGTTGACGTTGTGGTAATTTGCAAAGCTGTTGCATCTGATACACATGCTGAAGCGTTGGTATCGGACCAGGTAATAAACAAAGATACAGATGTTTGACACCCTGCAAACAAGGCCAGGATGTCACCAGATGAAGGTATTTTACATTGGTATCTTTTACTTTACCAGTTGTACCTCCATATTTAAGCTCAGGGCTTGTTACATTGTTTCATAATTACCACCCCATACATTGTTATTATAAAGAACAATGTTCAGAGCTACAAAGAGGCAGCATCCAAAGAACCACAGACAGATGGCAGGATCGACAGCTTGACATTCACTTTCCTAAGACAATGAACATTAGGTGAACATGTTTCATGGATTTTAACTGCACCGCATCTGTCTGCACCTGTCGACAGATGGCCAGTAATATTAAAGATGGAGTCCTCTGAGTTCACAAACAGCCACTAGAAGAAACTTTTCTGCCTACTTCACGGAATGTAAGTGTATGTTGGGTAACGCAGTACAGTTAAGCAAGGTGAACCTTTTAAACCTCTATATTTACTATAACTAAAACTCACACTCACGACAGGATAAGTGGTGACAGAATACGAATGTTAGACACACAAACAGATTATTAATAGGTTACAAACAGGTTATTAAATAGCAGGAAATTCTGTGTAGGTGGAAGGTGGAGTAAAATGTGGTTATGAGAGGAAAAGGACATATTACAATGCCTTCAACTGAATATCTCTCAGGCCCAATCCCAATCTCTACAATTGCGAACTCAGACTTGAATCGTGCTCCTGCTAACTAAGGGTTAAGTTCTGTCCCATTGTCAAATTGTTAAGCCCTTTATGAAGCCTTTCCGTTACTCAGCATTAGATGCCGACTTTGCTCAAGGGAAGACACCCACAGGGCATTTGAATGTGACTGTTAAAACTGGATAACCTGGGTAAAAATAGAACTGTGTGTGTGTATATATATATATATATATATAAATTTGCAAGCTCACAAGAGTTCCCTTTTATTGTGACACCCTGTCACTAAAACCTTTTGGTTTAACAAATATGACAGTTTTAGTGTGTAAATGCAATTTCGAGCAGAGGCCTGGAAAAACCCTGGTGCTTAAAAAAGTTAAGATAGAAGGTAAAAGAACATCAAGTTTGAATAAAGGTATCATTAGTTTGCATTAATTTGAACATCGATAAAGCTCCCTTTGAGCATACAAGACAACAGCAAGAAGTGGACTTCACAATGGCCCGGGTCTTTTTTTAGCATTAAGACGGCCTGGCTGTGATAACCGGTAGTGTCTAGCCACTTGAGCGTGGACCAGTAAATGTAAGGCCTCAACACGGGCTGCTCCCACGGGAGCATCGATTCAGCCTTTTCTCTGAAAAAGAATGCTTTGTCTCGCAGCATTTCCACTTCAATCCCCCTAGAACAAAATAAGTGACAATCAATACCTCATGCTACCATAGAAATCTTGTATTGACCGTCAAAATAGTACAAAAAAACAGTTTAGTCGGCAGAGCTTTTCCAGCCATCAGTGACAAAGCTGAAGTTGTAGGAATACACAGGCGGGCAAACTCACTCATTAAAATTAAATGTAAGGAATTACTTTTTGTTAGAAGAAAAGTCATATTGATTAGAGGAAATGGTCAATAGACAGATTTACTCAAAGTAATGTTAAACCAAATAAAAGTAATTCAAAAGCATATGTATTGCCTCCAAACACAGCTCTCAATATGGAGACAGCTGAGCCGGCAGCTAACAAGGATTACAGCTCTAACTGTGCAGAAACAGTGCTGACAGAGCAAACAGGCCAAGCGATTCAACTACAGCACAGAGAAGATAGGATTACATTTGACGCAGAAGTAAAGTGACTTCATTCTCTGTGAAGGTAGACACATTAATATAGGAAACTGTGGTTTGCTGTTGTATCAATACTCCCATTACTGTATGGGGAACTTTACGCCTCTGCATTAGTTTTATTAAACGTGCAAACCTCTCCCACTAAAGCGCATAAAAATGGACACAAAGAAACCCACGTTAGTTCACTTTGAGTACTGACTTGACTTGTATTTATAGCAATTTAAGCTATGATAGGTGCAAGAACACAAATCATATCACCACAGACTAATGTTATATTAAGGGACCAAGATGCATGGCGCGGGAAAGGGATCTCTATTCAGGTTTGATCAGATTGCAGGTGGTCAACAAGTCATTAAAGTAATGTTAAGCTGTAGGGTAGAATATGATTGATTACTATCATGATGTAAAAAGTAGTTTGAAAAAACAAAAGGGTTTCAAAATATATTACCTACTGTTGCCTTAAATACATCTTGTTGAATATATGACGTCACACAAATTCCTACAACAAAGTTGTAACTGTTGTATAAAACAGTTTTAACTGGGAAGCACAATGAATTCATGCCTAATTTTCTTAAATGTGATTAGAAGTAGTTTTGTACAATAATGGAGAGGAAAAGTGCTCAAATTATATTGCCACACATTAGAAATGCATTCATAGACAAACATAATAAATCAATGTTTTCCTTCAGATGCTTGCTGAAATCTGAAATATTAGTACGTTTAAAAAGGGGATTCAAAATTTACAAGACACTATTATCAGAATTACAGATACACCCAGTATGCTAATGATTGTATAGTTGTGACGGAGTGATGTTTCTCTGCTATCACAAATCATCTCTGGCACAACAACACTTTAACAGGACAACTGCCAAAAAGTGTTCGCATATACAGTTGTACAGCTGATTGGATCTATCAGAAATGTTGTTAGTCATTTATAACTGGCAAGGTCAGAGACTGCCAAAAATGACAAAAAAAAAAATAGATTTGACTTTGAATGTTCAAAAAAGATTAATATGTCTATAAGACATAGCTTTAGAGATAAAACGCAGAGAAATTACGCAGAGAAATTAGGAAATGCAGCCCAAATCCAACTTTATTCCAAAGACATATATAATTATACTACTATACATTAATAGTTATTCTACGGCTGGGTGGTATTGCTAAAAATTCATATTGCGGTATTTTGAATGATTATCACGAAGTAAACACATTCATTCATTGAATCTGAAAAGAACAGCTGTCCACCGCATGTTGTTATGGCCAGCGAGTTGGCCGGTCGAGTTACCTTGTTGGCGGGTTAACTTGCTAATTTTTTAGCTTGTTAGCTGATGTGGCTGCTAGTGTGTCAACCAGAGGTAATACCAGCGGTTGGACAAACTTTGCAATATGTCGTTTTCTGATCTAACTTGCGTCAGATTTTTCAAACCCTCCCTCAAAGATACCTTACACCCTCCAAACATTACACAGCTCCTCTCACACATTTTGTGTTGGCTCATTTTTCGTGTTTTTATGTAGCGATGGAGTTTCTTCTTGTTGTGATAGTGGGCGAGGTGTACCCACATGCAGTTTGGCGGGGTAATTATTATAAATTATTGGTGTTAAAATTGTTTGTGTCACAAACTTGTGTTGTCTTGTTTTACACTCAAAGAGCGTTAGTTGTGGGTTATTAATTGTTATAACCATGACTCCATCTCAAGACAACTAGCTGCGCTGCGTCCTCATCATTGAGGCTCTGCCTGCAGATAAGCCACAAGTCACCACAGCTATGCACCGTATGTTGGTGTGTAAAAAATACGGATACTTGAAACTGGTATACCGATTGAACTTGAATACCGCCTAGTTATAACTGTGGTAATATTGAAGCATTAATGTACTCGTTAGATTATATTAAACTTTATATTCATCGCAGTACCGGTAGTGAGACAAATACAGTTTAGAATCTACCCAGAAGTGCAATAAAGCAGATAAAGTGCCGAGTAAATATATACATATATATGTGTGGCATATAAATGAGAATATGTACAGTATGAAATATACGTGGCGCAGTATTTACATGAAGCAGCAAGGTTGTCAATACAAATGGCATGGTAGTGCAAATATGGGATAGTTGAAGTGCAAAATGTTCAGTGGCTAGAAGGACTTGCGTGGCCATCCAGCGTGGAGGAAGGGAGTAAGGTCATTGGAGAGGTGCGGAGGGTCTGGGGCCTATAACCGTGGTGCAGTGTTCACCAGGGTGACAGCGGCAATGAAGAAGCAGTTCCTGAACCTGCTGGTCCGGGAACGGAGGGCCTGTAACGCCTCCCAGAGGGGACAAGGCCAAACAGTCTATGGCTGGGGTGGGAGTTGTCCATCACCATGTAGGGTTGAGGTCATGAGGGTCCAAGAAAAGGTCCTCGGAGATGTGGACACCCAGGAACTTAAAGCTTGCGACAGCTCAACCTCCGTCCCGTTGATGGAGATGGGGGTGTGTGTGCCACCTTTGCTTTTGTAATCTTGAAAATTTACCTTCCTGCCACTTTATTTGTCTTGTTGTCCATTGTCTTACTGTCCAATGTTATGCAACAACTGCCATGTCAAATTTCATGTATGTCCAACATATTTTGGCAATAACTGTCCTTATTCCTAATTTACTGAAGTCCACAATGAGTTCATTGGTCTTGTTGGTGTTGAGTGCCAGGTTGTTGTTGATGCACCATTGGGCCAGATGCTGGACTGCTTTCCATTACGGCGACTCGTTGTTGCTGATGAGGCCAATCACCGTTATGTCGTCTGCAAACTTGACAATGTTATGAACAGCATTCTCACATATGCGTTGTTATTGTCCAGATAAGAAAGGGTGGAGTGCTGTGGGGTGGCATCCTCCGTACTTCTATTCTTGCGGTAGGCGAACTGTAGGGGGTCCACTGTGGGTGGTACTCATCCCTAATGTATAGTCAAAGGAATATGCCTTCAAGCCAGAAGGCTCCACCCACTTCCTCAGGCGCATTGGGATCAGATGTGTGATGAGACGGACGTGGAGAGGATTTTTTTTTAAGTTCCCGACTTGTCAAAAATAAATGGATTGTTTACTCTTTTGGAATGATGCATTTCAAGATTTAAACTGAAAAGTTTGGCTTTGATTACCGTATTTTTAGGACCATATAGCGCACTTAAAATTCTTGAATTTTCTCAAATCGGCAATGCGCCCTATAATCCAGTGCGCCTTTATATATGAATTCTTGTTGACCGCGAATCAATTTTATGTGGTACACTGCTCAAAAATCGGTCAAAATGTTTTAGTACGACTTTGGTGAGCGACGAAGTCGCTCCGCTTGACGGAGCATTACGCTGACAACGATAAACCAACCAGAGAATAGTACGTTTACCCCGGCTACTTTTTGTGATAGTACGTGCTGTGCGTCAACATAATATTTTGGTACATTTTTGTGTCTACGAACCCCAAAAATGGCACCTGTTAAGAGGCATGCTTACGAAGCAGATTTTAAACTCAAGGCTATCAGTCATGCAGTAGAACATGGGAATAGAGCAGCCGCCAAAGAATTTAACATTAATCAAGCAATGGTACGGAAGTGAAGAAGGAACAAAGTGAGATGGCCACAGTTAGAGGACAAAATTGAACAGTGGGTAATTGAACAGAGAACAGCAGGTAGAAGCGTCTCTACATTCTCCATTCGACTCAAGGCAACAGCGATAACACGTGACATGAAGATCGACGACTTTCGAGAAGGTCCTTCTCCATCTGCAAAAAAACTACCATCTTGCAGCAACTGCCAAAGGATTACGAAGAAACGCTGGCCATCTTCCGCACCTACTGCACCAACCTGGACGAGGTCCCCCTCACTTTTGACTTCGCCGTAAACTGTACTGTAGAGAAAACAGGGACCAGTACCGTATCTATACGCACCACAGGGAACAAGAAGTCATCCTTCACTGTAATTCTCGGTTGCCAGGCTAATGGGGGTCGTCGTGGCGCAGGGGTTAGAGAAGGTGTGCTGGGAAGCACAAGGTTGGTGGTTCGATTCCAGGCTGCCCCATGTTCCATTTCGAAGTGTCCCTGAGCAAGACACCTAACCCCTAATTGCTCCCCAAACCATGGGTCTGGATAAAAGCGTCCGCTAAATGACCTGTAATGTAATAGCCATAAACTACCACCCATGGTATAGTTTAGCATCCTAGAACTAACTTATTACTAATACAGAGCTTGAAGGGGTTGCAGTCCTTACCTCAGTGGTCAATCTCATTTTCTTGCTGAAACAGCAATTATAATGATGAGGAGGGTGAGGACGATGGCTCCGACAAGCAGGAGGTAGCACTTCCTCTTCCTCAGCTGCCTCTGTGGGGAGAAAGGATTTGGTGAGGTGGATGGCATTAAGGTATAAGACAGTTTTGACTCAGTCTGTAATGTACGGTTAGCCAATGATTAATGGGGCTGTCAACAGATCAAAAAGAAATAACTAATTAATCGCACATTTTGAAATTCATTCATCTTGATAAATGACGATTAATAAATGTTGTTGTTACAATGCTTTTAATGAATGTTTGTTGTAAGACTATCTTACAAGTAATGAATAATCACTTTAGAAAGTGTGTATTGATACTGTTGTTTAATTGTTAATGTGATTTTAAAACTACACATATTTGATTATCCTGGAGGCATAATTCTACCAGGTGGAACAAGTTGAACTAGCGACTCTTACTGCTGTCCTCGTGCACTTTGCTCTCCATAATTTAACGGCTGTACTCTCCATAATTTAACGAATGTGTTTGAAGTCCCAACAATCTCCCCACATTTAGCCAGTACGTTTTCAAACCACCGTCTTTTAGGGACACAGTGGTGGTCCACAGCAGACTGTATGCGGCGCAGGGTAACGTTAGATGTTAAGATGGAAGTAGCCCAGCAGCGGGCTTAGCATAGCGGTGCTTTAAGTGGTCCGTTTGCCACTCACCCCCCTTCTGTTTGAAACATGGAGGAATTCTTATGCACAGTTTTCTGGTGTATATTGCGACTGTTTTACTTTTAATGCAAAAAGCTCTCTCCATCTTGATGTTAACTGACTGCAGCTAGCGGCCGTTTCATTTCTGCGGTTACCTCCCGGTCCCGGAACCGGAACTAAACAAACGTACGTTAACTACGTTAAAATATTTGTTGCATTAACCTCGGCCACATTAATCGCATAGATTAACGTTGTTTATGTTGACAGTCCTAATTTTTAACCGATTCATCAGTTACAGGTCTAAACCCACCCAATATACAGCTCCAAACCCACATTGCACATTCTGCAGCCCTGCCATGTTTCAGTTACAGGCTGTTTTTATATTACATTACATTACATTACAGAACCACCAACCTTGTGCTTCCCAGCACACCTTCTCTAACCCCTGCGCCACGACGACCCCCGCATATTGAGGCCCCTATTAGATATATTGTCATTTCCAGATAACTACTTGTTTGAACGGTATTGTTTTTCTTCACAGTCCATCAAATGTGTACATAACCTCACCGTCCTCATATAAGTAACGTCCCCCAAAGTGAACATGCTCCCACATACAAGCAGGTTCTTTGTGTAGTAATACGTTTTTCTGCAAACGGCGGTTTCCTTTACAACATTATAATATTAGTAAAGCTGCTGTATGCAGAGCCGTGAGAAACGTGTGCATCGCTCTGAAACTTCTTTTAAACCTTTTGGTTCCCTGGACACCAGTGAGGCATTAAAGAGGAGTTCCACAGGATGCCCCTGAATAAAATACAATATAGGTTCAATACCATTGTACCTGTTTTTACCAGTGATTATTCTTGTGATTAAATATGAGCATGGGTGTGTATTTTAAGCCTGTGTGTAGTGCATTCTAACAGAGATGTAATTTTCCCACGGAGAATTAGTAAAACGTATGGATTATGATTAGTGTGTACATTAAATATTAATTGACAACACTATATTGGAACTTACGCGTTGACCCGAGCAGCAATTTTCTCCCACGCCATTTCTTTTGCTGCAGTAGCGGTGTTGCTTTTCTCTCTAATTACGGGTTCATACTTGTCGTACGCTTGCATTAATATTTGCAGCTCAATAGGGGTGAATATATTGTTTGTGGTGGTTGTCATGGTAACTCGTAGTATCATGGTTCCATTCATGCTGCCTTCATACTGTGGTAGTGCACGCGCTCAACTCTGAGTCAACCTACTCCGAGTTGATGGAACCAACTCTAAACAGCTGTTCTAAAACCCAAAACTCAGAGTTTCCCACCTCAGGGTAAATCAACTCAGAGTTTAGCTTTGTTAAACCTCCTACTTGAAACGGACCCCTGGACTTAATCTGGACATGTTCAGATGACATAACATTGACAAAGTAAACACAAAGTAGAATAGTGGGATTTACTTGATTCAGCTACAAATGCGAGGTATTTTTTGTTGAATGTCATTCTCTGCCATTTCTTGTATTCTGTGAAGGTTCTATTCTTATAGAATACATATTGAGTTGATTTGAATTGAACCATTAAAAATGATTTATTTTGAGGACGGACCTCCAGAGAAGAGCCGGCCTCACAAGGCAGACCGGACCAGAATTCCTTACACGCACTTTGTAATGTATGATAAAATAAGTCAAATTGTTTAAAGCCCATTCTCTGGATGGGTTGGCTACCCCTCCTGCCTTGCTGTATCGTTAAATCGCAGCAGCACAGAGGGGACGAGGAAGATTTGTGTCCAGCAAGACGTTGAGTGTACATAAGGGCTTTGGAACCGCAAGAAAATGTACAGCTGCAAAGAACCGATGAATACATTAATTTCAAAATGTACTGAATTTATTTATGTATTGATATAAGAAACCGGCCGATGATATAAATTTTAAATCCAAATGATATTCACCCAGCTAGTGGATTTACAGTTCAAATAGCTTCATTTTAAGACGTATTTAACAGATTCAGTTTTTGATTGTTATTATAGCGCAGAGTGAAATTATATGAAGACGGTACGGTATCACTGGATGCATTGAGCTCATTATACAAGCTGCAAATTAAGCTTACCGAAAGGACAGAACCCTACTAGGCCAGTGGTCCCCAACCAGCGGGCCACTGGGTACCGGGCCGTGGAGACAGGCCACTTGTACCAGGCCTCTCACCACGGCCCTATATTTTCATCCATGTCAATTACTTGCTATATCGGAAAAAAGAGCAAAAGGATTTAACTGAGGAAAGCAAAAATATGAAAGTAAATGGAGTGAAGGGTAAGGTTTGGGAATATTTATATTTCCTCAATTCTCCTCAGGCAGTGAAGCTGTGTTTGAGCACAGAATCAATGTTGTTTCGAAATGCCTTTTTTCCTCCTTTTTTCCCAGGCCTGTTTTCTGCTACAAAGGCAAAGAGAGCAGCGGCGTCGGACCAGAGCCGAGGCTGAAGTCTTTAAATCCTGACGCGCTTCAAAGCACGGAGAGAGCAATTCATCTTCTTATCTGAGACTCAAAACAGGCTTTCTGTGTGGAAGAGAGGGAGAGAGGGGAAAAAATGCTGTCGAGTAATTTTCCGTTTAAACGTTCCACTCCACAACAATTTGCATAAGCAGCCCTGCGTCTGTGATAAGAAGATTGGTAATTTTCAAAGGCTCTGTGGGGATTGAGAATTAAAAGCCTTTCTCCGCTATCTCCCCTTTTGCAGCTGGCCACCGCAGATTCCAGAGCTTCTCTCACGCGTTTCCTCCTAAACTACGCCTTATAAACTTTCCCTTCCATACTCTCCTTTTCTCTGCTCACGCTGACAGTGCTGAGTTGCTCCCTCTCTCTACATATTGTATTCCCTCCCTCCCTCTCTCTCTCTCTGTTTTGCGAAGGCACTTTCCCTTCCTTTTCCTATTCCTCCCGCTCACTCATCCCGTAACTGCTGTTTAAATAAAATAAAAAAGTACAGGAGGGGACAAAAACGGGCTTAGTGTAACAAAGAAAGTGATGCAGTATTTTTCAAGCCAGAATTTTCCAGACTGCAGGGCAGACTGAGAAGCAGGACAAGGATAGACGGAGGAGGATGCTCTTATCACCAGGGACCTAATCTGCTAGGGAACGGTGTTCTTAACACCAGCATTGTGGGGTCTATAGATGATTTTTAAGGAGAAGTACCTTTTTATTCGTTCTCTATGTAAATTACCAGGCCAATAGTTGTTTGTTTAAGCTGGGAAAGAATCTGATTTTTATTGATTTCTGAACTTTTAAAAAATATTTTAAAAGATAAAGAGCAAAAGCAAACTGATGTGCATGGCAAGAAGGAGAATCCTGGAAAGACAATTGTGCCACTTTTGTGTTAATGTCCAATAAGTGTTGATGATGAATGGAAGCAATTCAAGTTCCTTAGAATTACCAAGTGAACTAGCCTACTACAACCAAAATTAAACATATACTAAAAATAACTACAACTACAAAGCCTAACTGCACACCAGATATGCGCCTAGCTAGCGTATTTGCAGAACTACAGGGATTGTCAGGGATGGGATGCCATTGCTTGTATTGTTGACGTTAGCCGGCTACGGAGGTCCACTGTAGACTTCTCCCACTAGACCAGGGGTCTCAAACTCATTTCAGGTGCGTGCCAGCCGCAGCCGCTGATGGTCGACAGGGATGGGTGGCGGCGCGGACGGTCCGACCGGCAAACGGCACGCCAAAGCCGGCCGTACCCCCCCGGAGGGCCGTAGTTTGAGACCCCTGCACTAGACCATTGATATTCCCATTTCTGTTGCTGTAAACATCAATGTGCATCACTAACTTTGTTTCTTCCGTGGAGTGTTTGTGCTTTCTCGCCACACAGGTTTCCATGGATCATGGTTCTATCTGGACCCTGTTCCTGCGTCCTACCGTGGCCCCGCTGACACCTACTGCTGCTATCATCCTCATCATTATTATAAATAGTAATCATATTACTGTCATCATAAACCAAGAGTACCCTTTCCTATAGTCTTTGTGCTTTCCCTCCCCAGAGGCTTCTGTGGATGGCGGTTCTATCTGATGGTGGTTCTATCTGATGGTGGTTCTATCTGATGGTGGTTCTATCTGATGGTGGTTGTCCCTGCAGTGGTCCTGCCGTACACCTGCTTACTACTCACAATTACTTGAACCATTTCTGTTATAGGAACTGAATGTATTATACATCTTTTACATTGTTCATTCTGTACACATGACATCATTGTAGTCTGTCCATCAGGAGACGGATCCTCCTCTGATGTTCTCAATACGGTTTCTTCCCTTTTTTCGCCATGGAAGGAGTTTTGTGTGGGTTTCTGGACAGAGGATGTTGCATGTGTTCAGACTGTAAAGCCCTCTGAGGCAATTTGTAACTTGCGATTTTGGGCTCTAC